ACCACTTGACAGATAATAGAGAGGAAACTGGATAATAAGGTGTTCAGTGTAACATTATCGCATTCCTGGGTCATAGTACAAGAGACGGAAATTTCCCAATGGAAAGCATCGGATTTATTCTCGAAATTGACTTTTCACATTTAAAAAAAAAAAATGTTAAACATGGGGGTAGGTCTCTGCAGTTACCATATGCTCATGAGGCAAAATTTGAGCTCTCGTAAGTGACCGCCTCCCGTAAGCGACCTCATAGTCTTGACATTTTGGGTAGTCGCCAACGGGAGGTTCGCCTGTAGTACCCAAGGTTAGTCGATGTAATTTGGCATTAACTGCTGTTGTCTACTGAAAAGTTGTATAACCTATGGTCAGGCCCTCTTATTTCTCGCCAACGCCTGTTCTCAAGTTAAAAACTACACTGCAAACCTAGCCGCATAAAAAAAAAACTGATCCTATTCCGTTGAATCGGGGCGGGTAGCCTGACAAAGAGAAGGCACTGCGATTGCGGAGTGTGGATAGAGGAAGGGGATATTTTGTGAAATAAATAGTTGAATAGAATGAACTGGATTTGTAAAGTATTGAGTAGCTATAGATTTGTTTGCCAAACTTACCCTCTGCAAATACATCTTTTACACAAGTCCAGTCGAGACAACACCTGATTTTGGAGAACAAGACAAGAATTTTTTTCTTTTTATATTTTGCTTTTTTTCCTGTCGTTCCGACCCTCCCTCTCTTGGGTCTCCGACGCGCCGTACATCTTGACAGAATAGACCTCTTTAGCTTGGACGGTTTGTTTTCCCATTGCAGACCACGTGATGATACTCTTGCGAAACGTCAAGAAAATTTTGGATTGTTGTTCCAAACCGTGCGTAGTTCATGTGTTATGTTTGTTGCAGCTGTGTGCATTTTATTTCTTGTTAAATTGAAATGGCCAAAGAGCAAGAGTGTTTGGGAATTCTTGCTTTTAAATTTTTAAATGGTCGCAAGTATATGAATGAATAATTTTAAGATGGGTAAGAGAAAAATTCTCTAGAGAATATCACGTGGTCTACAATGGGAAAACAAACCGCCCAAGCAAAAGAGGTCTATAGATTCACTAACATGCTTCTAAATTAAAAGTGACTGACCTTTCTTTTCTGATATGTATTCCTGTCCAAACACAATATTTTATATCTGTTGTCACGGCCATATCCCATAGCGGGTTTCCCTAGTCACCTGTGGCATGATGGGATTATCATGATGGACCAATCACACACGATGACAGTTATTGTCAACAAGATGACAGTTATTGTCAACTGAGTCATTGTTGAGTTTCCGGTTAAATGAACTTCCTACCTACGTAATCCCTGTATGAAATAACACAACACTTGACTGACTCAAATGATGTGTACACGGAACTTTGAAACTTTGCTTAAGGCATCCTTCAAAGGTTGATCGACGCCACATAGTTGTATTGAAGGAAAGTACAATTAGGCACTCTCAGTGAGATATCGCGAAGTTTACTAGGATTGTTCAGGTATGTAAAGGAGTGCAGATTTTCTGTTGTTCCTTTGTGCATATTTACCTAAGCAACGATTGTCTAGCGCAGTTTGTTATTGCTTATTATAACCTGAGGTTATTATAAGAAGTTCGATTTGTTCTTTTGTTAAGAAATTAAAGCTTCTTTAAATTGGCTGAATACTTGCGAAGTAATGCGAATTAAGCTTCGTTTGTGCCCCTGAGGTGGAAAAGATCGCGTTTCAGTTGCTACTATTACGAGTCAATATTGAATATTTATGAAGCAATCGAGTAAGAGTAAAGTTGTTATTTGGCAAAGCTTGTGTGGGTGCTACTGTGCCAAAGAACTAAATGTCGTCCTTAGCGTTTTTGTGAAACCTGGAATTGTTCAGCAGCCAGAATGCTAAAAAACAAACGTGAGTCCAGTGATGCGTTGAAACCCATCAAAGATTTCAAAACGCACGAAGGACACGACAGTCCCCGTCATTGGCATGGATTAAATTAAACGCTTGGTGAAGCCAGCTTAATTTTGTAGCTGTCTGATCTTTTTCAAGATTTGAAATTAAAAGTTAAAGTGCCCACCGAAAGGTATTGTAATTCACAATATTCCGCGCAGCTAAGACGTTGCCTCCGGGTGCACTCAAAAACGCACGCGTCGTGGTTGCGAGATCACTCGAGCATATCCCAAGGCGGGCTTAGTCAAGTTTGGTAGCGATCGAGAAAATTCGCACTTTCTGGGGGAAATAAGGATTGATGATGATGATGATGATGATGAAGATGGAAAACCTTGCAACGTACAAGGAAGACATAATTTATAATTCTTCAGAGGTAATCGACACGGACCTGAATTGGACATGCTTGGCCTCACATGGTCATCACGCTACGCCACAGTCTAAACAAACAATGAAGTATTTTTTCTTTGTTCATTTGCAATGATAAATGAGATCAAACCCATCGTAGATTAGTTTGCAGACTTCTTTAAACGGTAGGCAGACGTCCGCGCACCGTACGTGTACGCATTTGTAACGATGCGAAAAGAATATTGCATGTAACTGAAATTTAATATTTCAATTTAAACGTCGGAGAATGCTGTAAAACATATCGTCTTGCCCAAGATCCATCTAGCGTTTGGCTATAGCGTTGCATAATGTGTGTTAAATGTAGTCCTTAGAAATTGCTCACTTATGCTAATGCACAGCTGCTTGTGTTGTTTGATCCTTTAAATACACGAAATCCTATGTTAATTAGTTCAGAGAGCCAAGGACTAATCAGATTGCCCCATTGCCGGTCCAGTACTTCTCTGAGAATTGGACCGGGCGCTGTCCCGACAGATCCCGCACGATAACCATTGAAGATTTTCTGGTATTTTTATGGCTTACGTTTCTCAAAGAACTTGCTTTCACGTAAAAGATTCCTTTTCGTTTTCTTCCACCTCTCATATACTTAACTGGCTCCCAAACAGAATTGCGCGTTGGTTGCGGGCATACATTTCGTTTTGAAAATTGGCAACTTTGTGGTCCCATATATTCATGAGTTTGCAACGGATTCGTATGAAACTTCGCGTAGTTACTAAATTTGGATGGATAAATTGAGCGGTGAGGCTATATTTTGTTCGAATGAAAAAAAAAAAAAAAAAAAAAATCGGAAAAGCGTGATATCGTCCAAAAATTTCATTGGGAATGACTGCATAACTAATTTCAAGCCTTCTTAAATTAGAAATTGCCGGCAGGATTGTTTCCAACGGTCATAAAAAAAAATGATCAAATATTGCCGTCATGAAAACTCGATTTCACTGAATTGAAAATGGTAAATTTCAGCAAAAACATCAACAATGCCACCCTTGTTTCAAATCTTAACAACATGTTTTGGTTTCTTAGCAAAGTTTTGGTTTATCAGAGTATCAGGGGGTTGATAACGACTACAAGACCCGGGGGGGGGGTACTACCTTATATGGGCTAGATGGGTATGTGCGGTTCAAAAGGGTATGGTTTTTGAACTGTTTTGGCCGAAAATGGGCATAGATTTTGACCACTTTGGTCGGAAATACACATATAGGTTACGTTTTTTACTCTGGCTTCAGTGGCAATGGGTATTCTGTGTACAAGGAACTGCTTGCGTTTCCGCATTCATCAATGTCAAATTTGTAACCCTTCTCTAATGTTTGCGTAAATGGTAGCCATTTGTGGTTACCTGCGGTCATATATTAGAATTGGTCTGAGAGAGGTCTGAAATGGGGTATTGTTGCTTCTCTCTTGTCAGAAATACGTTATGAAAAATCACAGAATTTGGTCTGAAATAGGGTAAGGGTTTCAAAATTCGGGCCACACTTCAAAAACGTTTGGGAGTACCTCCCCCGGACTACAAGAACTCACACGAACGTACAGGTTATCAACCAGTGAGACATGTGATAACGGTCTGATGCTTTCCATGTTGAATTTCACATATCAGCTTAAATCAAGAGAAAGACAGGAATTTGCAAAATATGTGCCAAACAGCTGGTGACAATCGAAGTGTCGTGTTTGATTAAAAAAGTGTTGTAACTAAGACTCGATTAGAAGACTCTGCACAATTTCTTCAAACTTCCGCATTGCAAAATTTCTTCAAAGTTCCTCATTCATTAACACTCATTATGATGTGAGTTTAATATTGTACCTCTAATCGCATTTTAAAATCAATAGATGACTTGGCCGACTCCAGACAGAATGACAAGCTTTGAAAACACAGCTGACGAATAATCACTGAATATGGCCTAGAGCAGTGTAGAACCAGGCAAAGACAATAAAGGTCATAAACAAAAAAGAGACGCAGATAAGATTTGCATTTTAATAACCCGCCTTGTTATTTTCCGTCTTCCTATCTTGGTTACGACTTACCAATTTCAGAACACTATTTAAAATTGCTCAGAACGTCACTGAAAGAGGTGAAGTTAGATGTGACTCGAAGACTCAAAACGAACTAACGAGTAAGTATCTAATGTGTATATGCCACATTCCTATGCTAAACAATTTTTTTTTTTTGATAGGAACTTTCAATTCTGAAATAATGGTTATTTTGAAGAAAACTTTGAAAAGGCCAGTTTCGTCTGTGAAATTTTGAATTTTGTGCAAGTTACGTTTCCTTTTTCAATTTTCCAATATTTGGAGCTAACAAAAACATTAGGTACGGAAAAATATCTTCATTTTTCTCAAGCAGAAGCAAATTTGCATTGGTCGTTTCTCGCGTTGTTAGTTTGCGGAGGCCGGCTAGTTGTCTACGGCATTCAGTGCACTTAAAATGAAGAGTTGAAAAATATATTTTTTGCTACGTTTGCTATGAAGTGCAACTTTATCATTTACACGCACTTTCGCTGGTATTATACCGTACAAGGGAGTTCTAACTTTTACGTCTGTGAATGAAACCCTAGTGTGTGACCATTCATATGAAAGCTATTGAGCAGTACTTTCATGTGGTACTGTTTGTTATGCTGTACAAGGAGGTTTTAACTTTTAAGTCTGTGGATGAAACCCTGGTGTGTGACCATTCAACTGAAAGCTACTGAGCAGTACTTTCATGTGGTACTGTTTATTATGCTGTACAAGGCGGCTGTAACTTTTAAGTCTTTTTGGATGAAACCTTAGTGTGTGACCATGCAAATAAAAGCTATTGAGCAGCATTTTCATGTGGTACTGTTTCTTATGCGTGTAATCTTTAGATTTGTTAATGAAACCCCAGTCTGTCAGGGACCAATTACTCAGCATTTCATGTTTCACAAAATTGAATTTTACTCTTGGGAGAGGAGATTGTCACGATATAATTGTAAAATGTCTCCAGCAGGTATCGGTATGGTTGCCGTGTTGCTGGTTTTTTTTTTATTATTATTATTATTATTTTTATGTTGCATTGTTTTGTTATTGTTACGAAAAGCCGGTTATTGCTTTAGAAAGAGCAAATTATTTCCAGTGATGTTTAGTTCTCATGGAGACAAGATTACCATGAACACTCTAAAATGATACCCGAGGAAAGGATACTAATTAAATTCAAAGATTTAAAGAAAAGGACCCGACAGGTCTATAATTATTTAGTTTTTATAAACCGCTTGTTTTCTTGAAGAATATTTAGTTTAAAAAACTTCGTCACTGTAGAGTTCTAATAACTTCTTTGTCGCTCGCAAAGAAAAAGACAAAGACAAACACACGTGCACGTGGAAAAATCCATATAATGACAGTTTTAATTAAAGCGTGCTAGTATCAGACGCATGCAATTAAATCGTTCCGCTTCAACAGAAACGACTGAGCAGTCGTTATACAACAGCGCTGTTGATTCCTCTCAACAGATTGTCGCGCATAGATAAATAGAGCTGCAATACCCATTTTCCAGTCTTGGTTTAAAGAAAGGTACGTATGGTTGTTTTCACTTGTTTCATTCGCTGGTTGTTCCCTCTTTTTTTGTCTGCCCCCTGATTAAAAGCGAAAGTAAGGAAGTGCAAATTCGTGTTCAGAAATCTTTTGCCAGTTACTAAAAGGAAGTCTTTAAGAACCAAGCCAGCCTCCAAGTTGTCTTCGGTACAAAATAAACCGTAGTTATTCGACGTCGTCTAGGCCTGATAACGAACGTAATCGGTAACCTTTGCGCAGTCAAATGAAACCGAGTGTGGTGTTTGTGAGGTCGCCCAGGCACATAGAGCTTACAAACGGTCGTCGCTACAGTTTTGTTCTTTCGTAAATTCCGACTTCTTATAGAGTTTGCCCTGTACCCAGTCGGTTTACATGATCGAATTTAACATGTTTAGCTCAACTGAACCAATAGTGGCGTCCCGATAGCGATATCCTTTTGATAGCAAGTCAATAGACTTCTATGAGACCCAGTGGGGAGCAAGTTTTGTACACATTACAAGATTTGAATTGCGATTTACCTGTAATGAAAGTGAAATACTTGGAAAATGAAATACAGCTCATCTTGAGTTCATGGAGTGCAAGAGAATCTTCTCCTAATTAACTAAATTTTCCAGGTACGCTCATGTATGACTAACCTTATTGTCGTCCGTTCAGTTAAGTTTGCTGAATATAATTATTACATCCATGACAGTTTTACTTGCCAATTTTTTTTCATAAATTGACCAGCCACTCATAGCTCACAATGACGCCTTAATTATTTTCATAATCTTGATCATAATGAAAAAGTCTTGCTTCTTATTTTCTAATAAGACCGGCCTTCGATATCCACTTTTTATATGACTCGCGTATTTTTGTGGTGTTTTAAATTTAGCAGTTATACTGAAAAAACAATTACAACTTGGCTGGTCAGTTAAGGCCTGTTTACAAGGAGGGAGGGTTGCCTTAGCATGAACTGACTGTGGCAGGCGCGGTGGCCTCATGGTTAGTGCGCTCGTCTCCGGATCGAGCTGTCCGGGTTCGAGCCCTGGCCGGGGACATTGTGTTGTGTTCTTGGGCNGGAGTAGAAATACTCCTAGTCGCTTCATGCTACAGAAACCGGGATAAACTCCGGCCTGATGGGCCACTTGGCTCGCATGCAGACTTTACCAGTTAAGTTTGCTGAATATAATTAATTTGATAAATTGACCAGCCATGCATAGCTCACAATGACGCCTTAATTATTTTCGTAATCTTGATCATAATGAAAAACACAAGCTTCTTATTTTCTAATAAGACCGGCCTTCGATATCCACTTTATTTATGACTCGCGTATTTTTGTGGTGCTTTAAATTTAGCAGTTATACTGAAAAAACAAGTACAACTTGGCTGGTCAGTTAAGGCCTGTTTACAAGGAGGGAGGGTTGCCCTAGCAAGCCGGTTAACCCTAGCTGGAGGGCAAAGGAAAGTCCAGGTTTTACAAGCAAAATTTCACAGGCATGGTAACCCTACAACCCGGGATAACTTAATGCGCGGTTACACTCAAAGGGTCTGGAAACAATTAGAAAGTTAACCCGGGTAGGCGGGTTAACCCTACCTGGAGTGTTTACAAGGGAGAAAGTTAACCCGCCTGCCGGGGCAACCCTAGCACGCAGGTAGGGTAACCCGCCTACCCGGGTAACCCTAGCTGCTTTGTAAACACGACGAAGGAAAAAAGAGGAAATGTGTGAGTGCTAGGTTAACCCGCTTGCTAGGGTAACCCTCTCTCCTTGTAAGGCCCCATCCACACGCATCCGGATATTTTTGAATCCGCAACTTTTGCTTTCCGGATACGGCTTCGGTCCACACGCATCCGGCAAATTCGGCAGCGAATCCGGATATTTTTTAATCCACTCTCCAGAGTGGAAAAAAGTAATCCGCAACGAATCCGATAACGTGTGGACGGTGAATCCGGATACTTTCGAATCCGATGACGTATCAAAATCGTGTCCAGTCTCTTACCTAGCAATAAACCAATATGGCGGGACAACGTGTAGGCCTAGTTTCTCTAGAGTGAATCTGGATACCATCGGATGCGTGTGGACAGGCGAATTCGATTTGAATACGCTACGTGTGCACGAGGAAATTTTTGAATCCGGAAAGAAAAAGTTGCGGGTTAAAAAAATATCCGGTTATGTGTGGACAGGGTCTAAGTTCTGCGTAGTCTGTGGAACGCGAACAGGTGATTTTTGAATTATTTTTTTATAAAAAGAAATACCTCTTAGTCAGCGGTTCTTGGGTATGTCATCATGGATCAATGGATCAGTGAGAGATATATGTATGTCGCACATGGTTTTCTTCTGACATTTCCGATGCTTCGTTTACTATAGTTGAGCCGAGGACTTTGTGGATGGGTTTCGAAAGAGTTCAGAATTCAATAATCAGCCGAGGATTCATAATCTTTGGAATACACTAACATGTCATCAAGGCTTTGCCTTCAGAAATCTTAAATGAAATGAGTCTTGGCCGCTCGGTAGCTTGGTGAATTCTAGGACAAGAATGATTGTTTTGAGTGCAAAATGCAGTATTGGGATGGTGCATGACGTGCAGTTAACGAAAAAAGAATTGAATCCAAACCATTTATGTTTGCGCAAAATTTTTCAGTTTGTGAATGCAAGTTTCGATTAAGTAACGCTGTTCACGGAGTAACACTGTCTTCTCGTTGAAACGTTCCTTGGAATCGATACTGAGATACTCATTTGAAGTGGTTTTCTCTGTCGAAACCAAAGAAATTACGGACGGCTAGATATGAATGAGAACACTGCTGAGTTTTGAAATTTGTTTAGTTGCAGGTAAATGCAACAAGATATTTTTATTTGTTAGTTTCAAATGGTAACTTGACACTTTTGTTTTTCACGCACGAGTGGTTGCAATTAAAACTGACGAATCAGTGACTCTTGTTCACACGGTCAGAATAAACAAACAAGAGGCCAATTCAGCGGCACCTCAAGAAACTTTAACATTTTCTGTAACTGACTATTTGTAACCAAAAAAACTCTCAGGCGTTGGGATGGGTAATGTGACAAGGAATCGTCCAAAACTCTGCAGATTTCAAAGTGTCTTACAAAATTAATACAGCTTTTCATGTGTCTGGTTGTTTCAAGTCTCAACTGTTAGGTAAGGCTAATGTCCTCTCGTTTAAATGGGTTTTGATATCAATATTAATTTGAAGAAGTTTCGTTGAATATCAAAACCAAAAAAACTACGATAATTGCTGGCAACAAAATAAGACCATGCTAAATTGGGTCTTGTTATAAAATGAGTTAAATTCAATGACACGTTGACCAGCAAACGTGAGAATTTTATTTTTCACGCCAACGTTTTTAACTTGATACTTTTGTTTACCTCATAAAGGTATACAACACGGAACTCTTGTTTTCTGGAAAACATAGGGGCGATGTACTTTTTCTTCATTGCTGGAGAAAACTGGTATAATATTAAATATCTGGTGAAAAATGGAACAAGAACGATTTTTTTTAAATACAACTGAGAAGCGTTTCAACTAGAACCTACAGTACAAACTATTTTCACTGACGACTGACTCTGGAAAGCTGGTACACTAACTAAGAACAAACGCCTCTCAATATATGTCAACAACTACCGGCACCTTACAACTGACTTTATCCACGACGGAAACGAAACCGAAAAACGGACCTTTAAGAGACCAACTTAATTGGACTAACAGTAGGACTGATTTGACTAACAACGGACGGATCGAAAACCGGCCAATGACTGATGACATCTTTACACGAGTCTTACAGCCAATACCATCATGGCTAAACTGACCAATCACTTTCAACGGAGCAGATTTATAACACCATCGACTAACAAACTATTCACTTGACTCTGAAGATGACTTCTGCCCAAGTTGTCGAAACGTCAGTCACCAACAACAGTTCTTTTCATAACTACCCTCACCCGGACGATCGACGATTACACAATACGAACTAAAGAACGTTTTGTAAGCTAAACCTACAGTGAAACAAAGTCTAATTTTTTTTCTCTGCTGTACATTGTAACCAAACAAACTTGTTGGATTAACCTTATCATAACTGTTAAGAGTGAGTGCTGCTACCTCTGGGGGCTTTTGATTCACCAAAAAATAACTGTTGCACGCCTTGCGTGCCTATGTTTCTTATTTGCATTTGGAACTGAACGCTGGCGCACTGAACAGATCTAGACAATTGCAAATTTCGCTGGTAAAATATAAATTCGATTTCCACTAGGCGTCGTCGTCGGCGTCGCCGTCATCGTTGCTAAAGCTACGTAATCTTGTTAAAGAGGGAACCTTGCTTTGGTTAAATGGCTCCGGACAACATAGTAAACTTGACCATGAATTTTGATAGCCAAATTCGAAAACCCTCATTTTGGTATAGTCCGCTGAGCAAAGAGCATCGTCGGCGACTTCAAACAACAAGTTGTTATTAGTTTACACGAGAAAGTTAAACTTGTTGAGGAAAAAAGACTAGCGACACTTGCCAAGGAAACATGTCAGAAAAAAATGCGGTAGTAATTAATCGGTAATGGTGCGCTGAAAAAGCGACGAAGTTCATATTTTGTGATTGAACAGAAAATTTTGATTGGGAAATATTCTTCGGAAGATACATGTACTGAGAAAGGCTAGCTGTTTATTTCTTACCTATGGTACAAATATCGGTTCGAAAATAAACCAATTATTCTCGCTACAAATGCGTTGCGATGAATTGAAATATAGAAGAAACTTCTTCCTTCCATTTATTTGACAAAGGAAGTGCTTTTAAATGTAAATTTTATCAGCCTTCATCAGTAAAGAAAATTGCTAAATGTTTGTTTTAGAATATTAAAAACCTAGTAGCATTTCATTTTGATGATTTTGTTGTACCTATATGGGAAATCTTTATTCCAACTCCGATTGATTCTGATATGGGGCTGCATGTGCCTGAAGTTGGTATCCCATTCTTCGTGTGCAGAAACTCTTTAGCTCATCGAGCACATTTTAGGAATATTTTAGTCGTCGTAAACAAACATCTGAGCTTTGCACGCTTACTTTCCTGCGCGCAAAGGCTGATTAATGTCCACTTTCTCCGTACCACATCATAAGAAATTAAATGAGTGGGCTGTGAGACTAAACGAGTTGGTCACATTTGGAAAATGAACTAGTCACACGCGCACACTAAATTGATTTAGAGCAACGGGGGGGGGGGGGNGGAGGAGGGGGGAGTTAAAAAGGGGAAGAAAATATGATACTTGAAACTGTTAATTCGGATCTTCGATTAGTTTTCAATGAATATGATATGTATTTCACTGCCTGCGTGCAGTTAATACCTTTTTACCCGGCCAAGCGAAGGCTCGTATTTGATATTGATTGTTTCCATGCAGAATCATAATTAATAGAATTGACTGACACGAAAGAAAAATCAACACAGGGTCAAAATGCCTTTGTTTCTAGCCAATGAAACAATTCCAGTGTGTCCTAGTTGACAGCAAGCATTAAAAGCCTTTAAAGTAAACTGAGTTTAATGTTGTGGGAAATTGCACGGCTTTTAGTTCACGATCACTCAAATTCAAATTACGCCGTATATTCTATTAGCATTATTCAACACAAGTATTAATCAGTTTTTTAAATCAAAGCTGGTTTAAGAGTACCATTTCATATTCTGTTCGCGTGAACTAACCTTCCCCATTAGCCCGCTCTGGAAGATACGAAATGTTAACAAGCACGAACAGGTAATAATTCTTATGTTAACAATACTTATCAGTCCAATATCCTGCCTCCTTAATATCTGAAAGTGCTTTTAATACACTGAATAGGTTGACACCTCGGCTGCCATTTATAAAAGCGTCAGGAAATCGCAAGATCGTTTAGATGAAGAAATACTAAAAGATGAGTTTAATTAACCATGCGCCATTTTTCTTGACCTTTCCTCACAGATGAATCCTTGGTTAGTTTTTGCTGTGGTGCTTTGCCAAGCTTTTGTCCTCTCTGAAGCTTTGGCGAGCAATTGCACTGGAGGCTGTTCGTGTTCGGAGCTCGTTGGTGAAAATGGCATCCATGCAAAATGCACGGTTACTGACTTGAAAGAGCTGTTGAAGTTCATCCGTCACCCTCTTGATGTGAAATCTTTGTGAGTAACAAATTGTTTCGTTTCTGTTGTATAATTTACATTCATTTTAACAAAAAACAATCAGATTTTCCCCAAAATGCAAACTTTACTGCTAAGACATTGTGTACGGTCTATAAAGACATGATCAGAAGGTCGCTCTAATTTTAAATCTTTCTTGAAGTCGCGAACCGATCCGTGACACATAGTAACCTCTTCAACAAGGACACCGAAGAGAAGGCTGGGCGCGTGTCCGTGTTATGCGGGCTGATTTCCTTATTATAGAGGTACAGAAAGTATCAAGCCCGAGATACCCACAGAACTCTCTCTATTGTCCGGATTGATCCGGTTAATAGAGGTGTCCGCTTAGGGGATTCTTGCCTTTTTTTGATCAGGAAACTATAGTAACAAAGTAATGTTTAGGACATTCTAAGGTCGGTGTTCGCCTGATACAGGATGTACACTTACTAACGTGTCCTGTTGATTCAATTTAATATATGACTTCTGTTTTCACCGTGACCATTCAAGTGATTTGTCCTTAGTATTGAAAAGATGTCCGTACTATAGACGTGTCCGTAATAAAAAAAAAATGTCTGTGTTATAGAGGCGTCCGTGAGGAGACGCTTATACTGTATCTGGTTTACTTTCATCAATTTGATGAGAAGTCTTCAAACAGCCTCTTCATGCGTATCATTATTTTATTGAAAGTCACAATCAGAGAAGAATTGCGCTTGTTAGCTCTCGCTGTGAATCTATTGTAACTGAGAGATTTGACGTTAGGGAACTGATATTTTTACGGGATTTCCCGCTTGACAAGTCCTTTAGAAACATTCAAAATAACAACTGCTTTAATTATTTCTGCTAAAAACACCACGACCTTGTAGCGTTGGCTCATCTTTTGCTTCAGTGAAATTTCCGATACAGACGAAACGAAATTACCAAATACTGCAGGATATTTGAACAATTTGTTAGTTGTCACTAAAGATATTATATATTAAAATAATATCTTTTAATTAACGCAGTCACTTTTGAAAACCACTGTTGCTCGTCATTTTATTCTGTCAAATTAAAATCATTTCCTATTTAAACAGTCTCAAATGATAGCCAAATTATAATAAACCCATGTCTCCGCACACGATGCCATAAATCTGTTGTTATTAAATTTATTTAGATGACTGAGAAAATTACTTCCTTTTGACTGGCTGGGGTCAGATCAATTTATCGTTGATCAGTTTTAACTTTGCATTGCAAAGACGTGAAATTTAATGGCGTGCGCTTTAGTAATTTTCTCAGTCATGTAATAAATGAGTAATCTTATGAAAACTCGAGCAATTATAGGCTTAAAATTACTCGTGATATTTGGAAATTCTTTCAAATTGCCCCTCGCCTAAAAACTCGTGGCAAATATGAAACGTAAACAGCACTATTTAAATACGAAGAGCTCGACCAGACTAGATGGGAGTGCTTCTCCAAAAGCGCTCAGAATTAAACAGGCTAATAGATTGAAATGCATCGCGCAATATAATTGAATAAATGGGCGAAAAAACGTCGGCCCAGATTGCACGGTTATGTTTCATCTAACAGGGTTCAAAATATGAGAACAACGTAATTCAATTAATATCCAAAACATCGTATAACATTATGTAGCGCCATTTTTGGCTATGACTTGTTAAATGACATTGAGAACTTTTATTTTGCAGTTATCTTGATGACTGACTTATTTCGGTCTAGAAAATCGGAGTAGAAATGTTCAGACGTTTATGTCAATAAGGAAAAAAATTAATCTGTGTCTTATTTATATTTCACCTACACTTTTTTTTTTTTTTTTTTTTTTGCTTCTTATTCAGGGAAATCTTCGCCAGTGGAGTAAACACTATTGCTGTCGGATCGTTCAGTAATTTCACTAATCTCGTAAATTTGTAAGTATAAAACACTGTATTTTCAACATTATACCTATTTTGTATAACAAGGACAGCACATATCTGTAACAGATTTACGACTGACAAACCTATGGCCTGGAAATTCTCGATGACATTGGAATTTGAAAACAAAAAAGTGCGACTGAAAGAACGTCAAGTTGAGACTAGATTCTGTGATGAAGTTATGACGTCTTGTTACACTACTTATTTTCCTCTGGCGAGGCTTTTATTTTACGAAAGAAATATAGAGAAAACGTCATCCTTTAAAAGTCCTTCTACATAGCCCGATGCATTATTCAGTATTCAAGGGTACTCAGACCACTGAAGAAATTGCGTTGTGACCCTGAGAACAGTTTTCACTGAGTTTCGGAAGTTTATTTGTGTTTGCTTTGTTTTTGAACTACGCCAAGCGACTGGCTTCAAAAAGTCGCGCCACTTAACCAACCCAATGAGAAGTTAATGAAACCAAAGCCAATCGTATCTCGCTTGCACACGATTTCCCGCGCTTTGCGTCAGCTACATGTACCTGCTTTGAGTTTTGATTGGCTCACTAGATTGTGTGCGTCCTTTGTGATTGGCCAGAGTGATTACTTTGGTTTTGATTTTTCTACACTCAATTGAAAACCGCTCTAAATATAAAAATACGTTAAACTAGAAACTAACGTGATGCTTCTATTTTGCAGGAGTCTTTCAAACAACAGCATTCGCGTTATAACGGATGGTGCTTTCTCAGATCTTATGCAATTGCAGAGGCTGTAAGTATCTCAGATCTGCTACCGCCTGAGAAAATACTGTGTTAGGTGTCAGTAACAATTTTTCAATGTTTGTTTGTTCGTCGATCCTGGCACCAGTCAAGAAGGTAAGGTTTTCCAAAGAAAAATTAAAAATCAAGTTCTGTTAGACGTGTTTCTCTAAGGTTTGATTGTTAAAGGTACATGTATCATAAAAAAATGGATGAATAAGAATGGAATTGTAACGCATTCTGTCAGTATGTTAGCAAATGAGAAAATTGAATATAAAAGATTCGAATAGACCATTTTTGTATTCCCGGTATTGGACTGGAACTAGCTTGCAATTGAGGCTAATGCGGGGAATCTTTTCAAATGTAAGTGACATTAATCTCTTAATAAAATTCCCCCGCATGAGCCTCTATTGCAAGCTAGTTCCAGTCCAATACCGAGAAAACGAATGTGGCCTAAATTGAAATGTCTGACTGGTTTCTTCTCCTTCGTATTGCTGTAGGAACCTGTCTGGGAATCAGCTAACAAACTGGGAAGGAAATTCTACGAGCCACCTACCATCTTTAATGTACTTAGACTTATCCGGGAACCCAGATTTTAAACTTCCATTACCTTTGCTTAAACTGCGCATGCTTCAAGAGATCAAGGGAGTGACCTGGAACGAGCCTTGTGCAAACTGTGTTTTGGTCAAAAACTACACCTTACAAAATGGCGATTTTAAAAATAAAAACATAAATATCGAGACCGCTCAACTTCAGAAAGGAGAATACCTTGTCGGTGTCATGGAGGATTGTCGCCTGAACAAATTTCAAGCTAGCGAGGAGGTCACTGCGTATGCAAAACTCGGATTCTTTCCGCAATGTTTAGAGACAAGTTCAGCTTGTTACCAGAGCGAGATTCGAGTCACCCCGATACACCGTTGCTGGGATGGGGATAACAAGATACTGTACGTGGAGTTTTTAATTTCACCAATTTCAATGATTCTGAATCTAACAGTCATCTTTGTTACACTAACAACGAGAGTCTTGCGCAGAAATGTCACCATGTTCCTCACGAGCAATATGGCTCTTAGTGACTTCATGATCAGTCTGTACACGCTTATCTTGGTCAGCGCAAGATTGAGGCCGTACACGGAGTTTCTGTTGATCATAGACAACCTCTGCAATGCCATAGGCTTCATGTGGCTCACTGGTCAAATTGTTAGCATTAAAACGTCTATTATCTTGTCAGTTGAACGCTATCTAGCCGTCGTCTATTGCATGAAGCCTTCGGTGCGAGTGACCCGCAAGATAGCCGTGGGTCTGGTTGCGCTTACGTGGTGTTTGGGCGTGGCTGTTGCCGTCTTGCCATTGGCTAAAATCTCCGTCTACAATAGTAACACATACTGCATTCCTATTCGCCCGATTAAAGACATACCGCACTCGTATCAGCTGAGCATCGGGTTATCTCTTTGGGGTATCCTGCTGTACATCATTACAGTACCTATGTATGTGAAGATTTTTCTTGTTGTCAAGAAATCGAGTGAAAGAGCTGGCAATAAGAGAGATAGCACGTTAGCCCGAAGAATAGGCACAATGGTTCTCAGCAACATGCTGTTTTTCCTGTTTCCAATAATTATTGCATTTCTATGGCTAACAACAAATCTGCGAGTGACAATGTCACCGCAGAGCAGAGCAACCCTCACCAGCGTTCTTCCAACTTTACTATTTAGCTTCAACTCACTTATCAACCCTCTACTGTACGCGTTCAGGTTGGAGAAATTCCAAAAAGCCCTTAAATTGAAGATAGACAATATCTGTCTTAGGAAAGGCAGAAGTTCCTCCTTGACTAGTTCAATTTCCCGTCAAATGACTCACCAAGTTCAGAGAGGGAAAACTGTTAGCTCCCCTGCTGGTGGAAGTCCTGATCCAAATTTGACACAGATTTGAGTTAACATATCATAAGACTCCATGCTGTTCAATTACGGTTTGTTAGAAAGCTTTTCAAGATAAGCTGCTTTAGCCCAAAGAGAGTGGACATACTTACATATTGAGGAGGGACGGTTGGAGAGTATGTTTCGTCCTCTCCTCAGTCTTACTCGTTCGTAAGGACCAAGATGGCCGATTTACAGCACACTGCAAAGACTGTAAACATTTTAAATGACAAATGAGCATTTTTTAGATAGCATTATTTTTTAAAATTCTAAGTTGCATGTAGTATGAGCTAAAGAAAAAAGAAAACTTATGGAAAGCAACCCGATTCCGTGAAATGTTCAGCTGCTCCCATCAGCTCCTCAAATACGAAGGAGCTTTTCAGATAAGCCGCTTAATTGGAAAATGCTATTTCAGAACCTACTGTGGAATCTGACAAAGACTAGTTTCTTGTTACTCTTAATATTTTGGCTTTGACTTTGCTTGGTACCCGATAGTCTTCCTTCGGTCGTCATGCAATACTCTCCCGTCTGATGTGTTGCGTGACGGCAAGGGACTGGAGTACGTAACGCCGGAAGAGTGTTGCGTTACGATCCAAATAGGAGCTGTCAGGTAGACCTCTTCCATTAGCAATTTGGAGATTATTGGGTCTCTGATTGGCTGAGAAATTTGATAAACACTAAGCTAAAACGTTTTAAAAGTCGAAACGACAGAGTATAGTAAATAGCAAAATATAGAGAACTCGTATAACTATTGTAATTTATAGTCGCAAGAATTCCTATTCTGATTTTAAACTATTTTTTAATAATAGAAATTAATGAATATATTGACAATTGTTCATGTAGTTTCTGGTATTATTGTTAACTCGGCGATGTTTTGAACCCAACTGCAACAGTAAATAGCTAATGCATGAGTTCGTTAAGGTGCGAACGAGAGGTGCGAATTAACCTGAAGCGCGAGCGGGTGTTGATGGGAACTCTCCACAAATCACTGCTTAGTCACAGAATCGTAAGCGCTGCATCCGGGAACACGTTCTATTTCCTATTCCCTCTAGCCCGTACATTATTATAATGCATTTAAGGAAATAAGTTCAGAGTACTCAGCTGACACCTCTATGTATTTGAATTCGCACTCAGACTCTCTGTCCTGAAAAAAGACCGAAAGAAGGACAAGGTGAAATCCTCTAACTCCTTATTCCCAGAGCAGAGAACCCGGAGTTGGTAACTGTTATTTTTTGTGCAGGCTTTTCCTTTCACTATTAAAACGAAACAGACCTCTTTTGTGGTTAGCCTGTCAACAGGTTTCATAGGATGTCAACAAAAAAATCAAGAACAAAAAGAAAACAAACGAGCGTGTAGGCTCACTCTCCGACTCGACGAATTTTTTCGCTTATACCAGTCCGGAATATCCCGATAAATTAGGACATCTGTGATGTCACGAACTCACGTTTCAACCAATGAGAATGCGCGTTTTGGTTGGAGTGTTGTGTCTCAAAACAAACCAAGAGATTCAAGATGGCGGACAAACAGAGTCGCGAATACTTTCCAATGCCATGAATGCGGACCTTCAGGAGGTATAAATTTATCTCGAATTGAATTAAATACTGTCCAAATTATAAAATAAAAGGAAAGTTTGTGTTTGCGTTCCATGTCAGACAATTCTGCCCAGATAACGATTATCCTCGGACCGAAGGAAGCACCACAGAACGCAATGCGAGCCACGTTTGACGAGCTGCTGTTATCATTCTTTG